GGCATTGCTCAGCTTTCTTTTTGCAACTGAATGGCAAGTTGCAAATCCAAAAGCAGACGGAAGCGAACATTGCATGGGAAGTTTGAGAAAGTTTGGCTTTGCTGAGTAAGCTGATACTAGAGCTCAAAAGTAGCCTGCCCTTTGTTTTTCTGCAAGTCCCTCAACACTCCTCGTGGCTTTTCCTGCTTTTTATCTCCCCTCGTACCCAAATTCTTTTGAAAATCTATCTCCAATGGACAGATTCCAGAAAAAACTATGAATAAATTTCCTTCCTGTTCTTCCACAAAAGGATTCAAGCCACGGTGTTCCACCAAGAAATTAGCTTTTATTTTATGTATTATTTTTTTTAAATAAGAAACGTGGAAATGCTGTACTTAGGAAAAAAGCCTGCACTTAGGCTACCTTCTTGGCTAGTTCATACCTTGCTGAGCTCATGGATTTTCTTTCAAAACTTTCCCCTGTAGGGGTGATGTGGCAGTGACACAAATCTAAGCCTCATCTCACAGCAGAGCTGACAAACTCCTTTCCTCACCATGTCTAAAGACATTTCAGAGTGGCAGGAGATGAAATGCTTGTTTATGAAAAGCAGGAAGGCTATATTCAAATATGAGGAAGATACCAAAAAATGTTATTTCCAAGATCAAAGCTCAAGTTTAAACTTTTTAAAGTCAATATTCCCCTAATCTTAGAGACTCTAAAAGGTCCCTTTAAACATTCCTTATGCTTAATGTATTTTTAGACAAATATTTTTATGACTACAGGAGAAGCAAGCTCCCCTCTGCTTTAAGATTGTTTCTATGGAAACAAACCCATTGGCGAGCAGCAGTCCTGAACAACTAAAGCCACTGTCTGTAGCAAGAATAAATCCCTGCTCAGAAACCCATGGGTCTGGAGGGCTGAGTACGCAGAGCTCGCAGGATGCAGTCAGTGGAGTCCAAACAAAGCTCTCGCAATCAAGGCTGGAAGTGCACTAAACAGCCAGAGCACTGCTGAGCGCACTTACATTGCTTTGCATGGGGAGAGTGGACTCGGGGAATTAATTCTGAATTGATAAATGCATGTTACATTGAGACAGAGGAGAATCTACATATTTAATCTAGATGAGAATCACAGATTTGGCCTTTACGTGTAGGTAGTGACGATTACAAAGAAGTGATCAGATGTTTGGGCAGCAAAGAAAAGCAGCAGCATCCAAACACGCTCCAGAACACGCAGGCTTACTGCTCCAACCACTAAGCACTACTTCTGCAGGAGGCTTTGGGAGGCAGAGGAAGGAAGAGACAACAGTTGGCGTGTACTCGCTTGTATTTTCAGTGCAAACCCAGTAAACAAGGCGTGGCAGAGACAGCTGCAGAGAATTTAACAGAGGAAGGAGATGAATGGGATTCAAATCAAGCATGGGTTGAGCCTCCCCCTTGTACACCCTGGCAATTCCTCTCAGCGTGCCAGACCAAGGCTAAAATCTACAGCACGTTCCCATCACAGACAATGATTTCTCTGACCAGACAGATCTGCTCCGAGGGCAGACAGCTCCCTGATGGAAAGGCTCCAGAGACAGCAACACAATCCTTCGGTGATGCTGCAGTCAGATGAAAATGCCCTGAGCTTCCCCACACATTTTCTGTTTAGTATCTTCTAAAGAGTACAGAGAGAAGCCGTGACAGCGCCACAAAGGCTGGTCTGCCACTTCTTGGAAGAGACTGTCTGGGAAGTCATTAAGTGTTCTTTGCCTGAAATATTTCAGAACAGGAAAAATACACATGCCAAGACAAAACCTGCCTGTGTGCCAGCCTCAGGGGTGCTGAAGGAGCACACAATCAGGTGTTTTTTCCAGACCCATTCCAATTCTAGTTGCTAACTATCTTATATTGTAACATGAAGAATTACTCTGACCTCTCGGGACGGCAGGCATCTAAACATATGGGATATTTTTCTAAATACAAGGTCAAAATTGCTCAGGATTTGTACAAAACAAGAAAGTTATGAAGGATTTTAAAGTGTTTAGGTCCTGTAGCAAGTGTAGATCAACTGTGTGAAGGCTACCATCACACAAGTCAAGTTTTTCCTTTCTTATGAGACAGGTTGCCTTTTATTCTTAGAAGAGAGTTTCTGCTTAGATCCCAGGGCATCTCCCACCAAATACTCGCACAGGTGAGGATCTCCAGCAAGAGAACACAAACTTCCTAACCTCGCCTCAGACCCTGGTGATGCATAACCTGTATTTGAGAATACATGCTGCTTTTGTGGTCAGGCCTTAATGAGTGGCTAAAAACCTCAGATAGGTTATTTTTATACTTCTAACTACCATGATTCATCCATTTCTACACTCCAGGGAGAAAAACAGGAAGGAAACACTCAGTAAGTCCTCGATTTCGTTTAACATTGGTAATGAGTGTCGAGCAAGCTGTGGGAAGCAGAAGAAACAACCCCACTCCACTTGGAGTGGCATTTAATAAACTTAAGCAACTCTGGAAAAATAGATGTACTCAGGAGGTGGGTGGCACATGGAAAGATTAATTTGTGTTAATTAGGCATTGTGTAGGAGGAATATTTTGAAGGGGGTTTCAGAATTTCAGTTTCAGAATTTCAGCGAACAATGTGATAAATACTAATTAGCCAATTATTTCCCCCATAGTGGCAAGCAACTTTCCAAGGCATTTCTTCTGCAACTGTCATGCCTCCTGTTAAGTGGCTAAGCTGCTCCCCACACATCCAGACATAACTCTTCTGGCAGGACCAGTTTGCCTCTCAGGAGCATCATTCCTTTATCTTTCATAAAGGTAAAGGCAAGAGGGAATGAAAGCTTTTCCAGAGAGTCAGTGTTAGCTAAAGAGGCTAACTTGCAAAGGAAAAGCTCACCATGCTTATGAGAAAGCCTAGAATTAAAACTATTCTGAACATCCCAGCTCAAGTTCAATTGTGTCACAAGGCTGCTTCTCTATCAACAGATTGCCTTCCTTTTATTTGCCCTAAGGACCTAGGTTTTAAAACACCATACAGTCCTTTATTAAGCACTTTCTGATTGCCCAGCTTTTAATGGCTCTTGCTAGGAAAAAAAGACTAAGTGCTAATTAATGGGACAAAGAAGAGGGAGGGAAAGAGAGGTAGGCATGATCCAGAAGACAGTAATTAGTATAATCTCATTAAGGCTACTATGGTAACATCAAACACGAACTAACCTGGAGAACCATACTCGTGTCTTGGCAACCTGCAGATCTTAGGCATCACTTCCATTAGGGTCTTGACATACTGAAGAATCGTCCCTTGTAACTAAGAGAAAAGAAGAGCTCGTTAATATGTCAGCGTTACTAACTGAGAAACAACAATCGTGTTCAAAAAGCATGTGGATTGAACAGGGCCTAAAAATGATGCATTTAACTCTGTCAGTCATCTTCAGAAAAGCAGCTTCTCCAGATGAATACAGTTGCACTGTAACGCAGTTCCTTCATAAGGCATTAGCCACCAGTTTGCCATGGGAGAAGTGGCAGAGCAGCTAAAGCCAGGAAGGGAAAAAAAAAGAAGTACAGGAAAGCATCTTTTCTTACAGACCGTCTCTATTGTCTGACCAACCTTTTGATTTTTGGTGAGAAAAAATAAAGTTCATCTGAATGTTTTCAATTCTTAGTACCAGGTATGCCTGTAACAGCTTAGCTTGGCATTCCAGACATATACACATACATACATCTCCCTGTATCTCAACATTTGCCACAAGCATCAGCAGGATACCTCCCCCCAGTCCTTTCAGCCTCCTTCATAAATGCCTAATCACACTACCTTCAGTGAACTGAGATGATTTGCAAATAATAATTATAATCCGCCCCCCAAAAACAAACCAATACCCAGAGCAAGAAAATTATGACAGTTTTTATAGAATCATAGAGTGGTTTTGGTTGGAAGGGACCTTAAAGACCATCTAATTCCAACCCCAGGTTGCTCAAAGCCCATCTTTCCCTGAAGACGGTACCACGGCATCCCTTCAAGCAGGCCCCATCCTTTCTAGAATTTCAAAAGCGTAGGTAGAACATGGTGGGGATCGCGATAGACAAGCTACCAAATATGTCAAGTATGTGAGGGGAGATTATGAATATTACGGTTTTCCACCTCTTACAGCTGGATTATTTTGGCAGTGTGCTCCTCATAGGCAGCTAGGGCAGGGAACAAAGGACCATTTCTGTGCCTTAAACTTAAATGCATTATGGCTGTATGCAGATATTAACAATGCTGTGAACAAACAGCCCCTCAGTCTCCTTCTAGTTACAGATAAGGCCATTTCCAATACGAGATACAACGGCTGTGTGGAGAACTTTTTCAACATCTGGTCTGAGCACTCTTCTAAATAGGCTTGATTCTATCCTCTGCTTGATCAAGCGTGGAGATTAAACCTCCCTTGTTATTAAACGTCATCTGTCCATGCTGTTATTAATGACAGCCCTGAGGTTAGGGAAAGCAGAAAGCACATGCCAGCTCCAAATACTCTGAGAAAGCAAATCAGTTCATTTGAAACATTTTCCAGAGTTTACCCGTGTCCTACCAGCGTGAGTCTCCCCAAACCCGAATCCAAGGTTTTCAAAACACTGCTCAGATTACCAAGGCACATCTATTACTTTCACAAGGCACTGGGTACTCTCAAATAGAGTTTATATTGAACTTCAGTAGATGTAACACTTTAGTTTTACTTGAGATCTTACTTTCCTTAGGAATCTTACTTTCATTTTGCTTTTCTTAAGGTATTTCCTATCAGAAGCCATGTGGAATAATAACAGTGACAGACAATTGGCATACCAAGCTCTTGACGACTTTCAGCAACTCCTCCATCACCACAGCAATCCCCTGATACCCAAGAAGCCTGCAGATGACTTTAAAGTGAGGGGGGCCCACAAAATTCCTGTAGTTGCTGTAGATACTGGAATATGCCAGATTCAGTGCCTAAAATGAGAAAAGTAGATTTGATTAATGAAAATTTCAGCTGACTACATCTTAGTAATAATCGCACTTAAACACAATTTTTAAGCATATTAAAAAATAAAACAACTTCGTGTTTCACTCTCTATCCAGGAAGTTAAACCGAAGCCTCTCTTCTGTAAGACAGGTTTTTCTTGCTCAGCAAGGGAGTTCCTCTAAACAATATTTGTTAACCAGGTATCCTTCACTTGCCATTTATAGAGCCACGAAATTTTCCTCTTTCATATTTTTCTGCTTCCACAGGTGGAAAAGGCTGAGTAGTACATGAAGTCAAAGCACAGCTTCTATTCCTACACAGCCCATTTTATGTACAAAACATCTTGAAAGAAGTGACTTCAATTTTCAGTTCACAGTGAGTGTTTTAAACCTCTGAGGACTCAATTACAAAAAAAAAAATAAAAGAAGCAGCCTTTTGCAGTGAGTGGACTCTGCAGCTAATTAGTAAGGATCTCTCTTTTTCAAACATCTTAGCTGTACACAGCATGAAAGCAAATCCAAGCCTGGGGCATAACCTCATGGAAATTCTCCTGGAATTGTATAAAAAGGGTCAGGTGCTTGGCCATATTAACGTGTATTTCTTCAAAGTGAGCAGAAGTATACAGACTGGTGCCATGCAGGGATTTAGAAACTGTTTGCTGGAGCATCCATCCTACAAGGAGAGACAGAGCTGGATTGTTCAGTCAGAACAATCCATTTTAAACATCAGAAAAAAACTTTATTACTGTTACAGTGGTCAAAAGGGTGAGGCTGTGGAGTCTCTGTGTCCTTGGAGATGTTGAAAATCTGATTGGGAATGGCCCTGAGCAAGCTCCTGGAGGTGCCCCTGCTCCAGATGATGCCCGAGGTGCCTTCTGTCAGCCTGTGGAGTCTGGTTTAAGGACAGCGTCCTCGTGTTGGTTTTGTGGAGGAGAGCTGGTTTTGAATTCTCAGCCACCTTTTCCATGAATGTAACCCAAAATAGATGCTGGGCTAATTATTAGCCTCCATATGCAACGCTCACACTCCTGCTGGATCCGAGCTGACAAAAAGGCTCAATTCCAAACAGCCACTGCTGGCCAGAAGCCTGAAGCCGCAGTCCCTCACATACCACATACCTATTTGCATAGCTCTCCATTTACAGAAAGGAAATCTGGGGCACTGAATGGAATGAACACCAGTAAAACACTACAGAAACACTTGCAGATAAACATCCCAACAGATGAAGCATTTTATACACAGTTATCTGCCAAAAGGCAGGATTTCATCCTTCTCTTTGATGTTTTCGGTCAGGTAGGTCTGCACGTTAAACGTATCCAAACTATTTCAGCTACAGCACCAAGAGTGGTTCCAGCATGAATAACTCACCGATACATAACAATAAGAAGTCAGCATATCTAAAAATACATTTTTCTTTAACATAACCTTTGTGGAGCAGCACCTAACGTGGTCCACCTGTGAACACCGGGTTAGCAGAGCTTTGTGAACTGTGATGAGGGATTTGGAAAACACCAGCACACACCTCCGGGATGCTCAAAACCAAAGTATTTAGGGAAAATGCCAGTAACAAGGCTGCGGGTGGAAGGAGAGGAGGGAAGAGGGAGGGAGCTCAATGTTTTTTCAGCTATGCTTGCTCCCTCCCCTACTTAAATGTAACAAAAAAAAAGAGATGCTAGTTGCTGATGTCATCCAAGTGCTAGCATTAATCACTCACAGCATCACTGGTACAGGCACAGGAGCATATAACAGGGATGTGCTGGCACTACCCTGTCCAAGAAGGAAGCAATACAGGAGGAAAAAGACATTATTGTCCTCCTCTCTGCTCTTTGAAAACCAAGGCAAACTGCATCTTTAGACAAGATGTGCATGAATTTCGGTAGAAGAGACGAAGAAGCCATGCCACAACCAGCACCAGGGAAAAAATCTGAAAGTAGCAAGCAGTGAGGATTCAGTCCAGGGGGAAGAAAAAGCAGAGATCATGAAGCAACTAACTCCTGTGGGAAACGATACAGAACATTTAGTGGTTATGTTATTTTTGCATCCGCACCTGAAAATCCTGTTCTGAAAGCTCTGTCGGGAAGTGATGGTAAGTACTGACTTTAAAACACCAAATGTGGTTTCCAAACATTAACTTGCCAGTAATTATGTATCTAACAGCTGATGTTCTATAAAAAAAAATCAGAACCTATTCCTACTGTTACTAATTAAACTACTATTACTAATAAACCCCCAAACACTCTACTTACAAAATGCTGTGATGAAGAAGCTGTTGTTTCTAGACAGTGTTAAGGAAGAGTTCTATTAAATATATATATATAATTTTAAGTAATTGGAAGCTACCAACTGAAAAAAGGAAACAAAAGAGCAAGTAGGAATGCTGATGTTACTAATGTGCCTGATTTTAATATTTGCAGGAGTTGGTTAGATGTCAAAATGTCTGTCTAGTAAGTTTATGTGATAGCAAACTCAGTGTCTTTATCCTGTTGCTTTCAAAACGAGCACACTCCTAAATAGAGCATGATTAGAAAGGCAGCATCTACCCAGATCAGTCCTAAGGTTTTGTATTGTAATGAAAATAAACATACTGGGAAGCAGGGAGAAGAGCTAAGTACAATCCAAAAGCCTTGAGCAACAATTTTCCTACTTAAAGGGAATTATTAATGCAACGCAACTATCAAGGTCCCAATAAAATAATATATATTTTGCCAGCCTCCCATCTAGTGTGAAATGCAATTAAAGTATTACAGAATAATCTAAGAACATATTACAAGCAAATTTTATGAGCTTTCTTCATCAGGAAATTGTTATTTAGCCAGGAGACTTAACATCTTAACACTGATCATCACAAAACATAATTCATTTTTATACCGAAGTCATAAACAATGAAACACAGTGCTACTGCTGGCATTTACGTACCCAAAAAAGCAAGGAACTTTCACAGCAGAAAAAAACTTTCACATGACTGCTGCTGGAAACCGAGAATTAAACCAAAAGACAATCAGACTGAATTGTTCAGGGAGGCTCTTCTCAAAAAGTTACCTCCATAGCAAAGCAAAAACCAAACCTCCCAAACAAACAAAAACACCCACTGGCTGTTATTAGTATTTGTTTTGTTATAAAGGAACAATTTTAATTTAAGTCTACCAAGGCAGAAGCCAACTTTTTGTCCCAAAAGGAAGCTATTCCTTAAAAGGAGCACTTAGGAAACTGCACAGAAACTGCGATGTTTCTACGCACTGTTTTGTTTTGCAGTTCCACCTAAATGCAAATTCCTCTAGAGAACAATACCCAGTGCTTTATTCTGGGGGCTGTAGTACTTATGCACACAGCACGTATACTGAAAATGACAGAGGCAAACTTTGAACGAGGCACTGAGGGCCAACATCCTCTGGTTCCCCACCGTAAGAGCAGAGCAATCTGAAAATGCCTTGGTAAGGAAGCGGCTCCCCAAATCCCAATCCTGCAAAATACACCACCTCTTGAGGAGATGGGATACAACTGAGATGAGATATAACTGATCACCTGCGCAGGCAGCAGCTCTGGCTGAATTTCTCTACGTGTGTTTTTAGCCTTGGCAAAGAAATAGACAGTTTCAAGCTAAGAGAGCTGTTTCCTAATAAACTCGATTTTTTTTTTTTAATTACAGAGCACTACGATCCACGCGGCATCCCCAGCAGCAAAACCTCTCAGTTATCTCCCTGGGAAACACTAAGCTACCCTTTCTGAAGATCCCTGCTGGGAAAGGACCCCCCGAGCAGCTCAGCAATGGGAATTACCGTCCAAAACATCACCGGGAACACGGCGGTGGTGATCTGGCCCCAGCTGGCCAGCTGCGCCGACAGCTTTTACAGCGTCATGTACCACCCCAACTGGAGGAGCACACCGGCCAGCTACTCGAGGAAGAGCTTCCAGAAGGAGGAGAGGGTGCCCGCCAGCCGCTCGTCCTTCGTGGTGGAGAACCTGACCCCGCTGACCACCTACATCCTCTGTGTCACCTGCCAGTCCGCCAACCCCTCCAGCGACCAGTGCCGGGTCTTCAACACGCTGCAACGCGACCCGGCGTCCTCCGGCACTGCCAAGAAGGAGCTGGCACTGGGCATCTGGCTGGCCAGCAGCCTCCTGCTCCTCGTCATCGCCGCCGTCCTCCTCTACGGCTGCCTGCACCTGCTGTGCCGCAGGAGGCGCGAGCGCCCGCGGGGCCGAGCCAGGTCTGCCGAATGGGACCCGGGGAAGACGTGGACCAAAAGCGCAGCGGGAGCCTCCCAGGAGCTCGGCGTGCAGGGCAGAGGGAGGCGGGACAGCGAGGAGGAGCAGCAGGAGGGCGGCATCCAGCTGGCCACCATCATAGCCAACCCGTCAGCCTGCCAGCAGCCCTGCCGGCCCGCAGCCGAGAGCCAGGAGCGAGTGCCAAGGGCCGGGCTGTACTCTGCCATCAATTAGAAGCCTTTCGGCAGGGAGGAGATCTCCTGCCGCTTGGGACATCCCCATCCTTCAACCCCATCGCGTGCTTTGTCACCACTCGTGACATGGCTGCTCGTCTGTGCCTGCTGCCCTCACGGCCCCATCCGACACCCTCGCGCTGCCTCAAGTACTCAGGGGCAAAGGTTTGGGCTGCCCATGACTCTCTGCTGCACTTTGCTGCTTCAAAATGCGGTGAAATACCCTGGGATGTCTTACTTGGAGCTCTTCAGCACCCACCAGAAGCTCCTTTACGCACCGCAGTGACTCCCTGTAGAGGCAGCAGGGCTCAGAGAAGCAGCTGCCGGTCCTTCATCCTCCCTCCCCTTCAGTTTAAATAATAAAACTCATCCATCAGCTGCAAGTTTCTGTCCAACCATACCGTAAGTTTTGTAGGACCAAGGGGGCAAGGAAGTAAAAACACGCCAACAGGCATTTTATTTTGGTACCAATCCGATCTGCTAGTCATCTAACTGCGCCTGTGGACGTCGCGGCAAGAAAAAGCCCTTCAGACAGAAATCTGTTCACCCTGGCAAAATGATGCATCTTGTCTGGCTTGTGTGTGTAAGTCACTCTGTCTGAAATCCCTGAAGTGAATTTATGTTCCGTAAAAACGTAATAAATCTCGCTAACACTGCACGATGTGGTATTTCTGAAAACCAAGAGGCACGGTGACTGCGGGCCTTGTGAAGCGCTATCAGCAGGAACCCATACATGTACAGCCAGCTCTCGCTGACCCGGCTCCTGCACCAGGAGCAGGCTGGGCAGCTGCCCCCACTGCCACTGCATCTGGCAGCCCAGCTGGTGCACGAGCTCGCTGGAGAGCACAGGGTGAAAATTTCACAGCAGGCAATGGGGGCTTTGCAGCTACTGTGTTTGGGCAACACTTGCCACAACTGGAGAGAGACCTCAGCCCTCATCCTGCTAGAAATGCAGGAGCTGACCTTAGTCTGATGCGTCTTTTTTCCTCCCAGGATAGGTAAAACACGCAGAAAATGTGTGCCAAATGAAGGGTAAGCGTTAATTTTAGGAAAAAACTTCCAAAGGAATCTTTGTTAAGGCAGCAGTAACACCTTCTCCACCCCCTGCATAGCATTTCCTCCAGCTGCCAAGCATTTCTCTTTTGTCTTACAAACCAATCTCAAATAAACTGCGAAGATGACAGCGCTGTGCTGCTGTGATTCATAAAACAGGTGATTGATGAAACGCCCTGAAAAACTCTCTTCAGAACATGAAGGCAATATGACAGGTTGCCTTCCCAAAAAGGGGCAGCTGGGGAGGAGGGGGGCAGAAAAAATGCTTTCAGATGGTCTTGAAATTAAATTAATAACACTCCTCTGACCAGAGTTTGTAAGAGAGTGAAAATATTGTTTTAATGTTAAAGGTACAGAGCCAGGAGACAAATTCTCATCTCTACCAACATCTTGCGCCATTGGAAAAGACTGTTTATTTTTCTGCATCTCTGTTTCTTGCTGTGGATTTTGAGGCAATCCTATCCGTATATTTACATAGTATGTGTATTATTTATACATGTGTGTACCCCATACTGAGAACACAAGGGGCAGCTCAGTCTTAAAGCAGCTTTGAGGCGATTTAACTCCTGAATGTATTGTTTAAGCACAAAACGTGTTGATGTGTGTGTGTTTGTGTGCACATCATCTTGAGAAGGTAAGGAGCTAAACATGGAAGTGTTCCCAGGAAAGGGATTTCCTTCATCTAAATATAAACCCATTCCACTCCAGGAGTTTACTATGCACTGCTTGGATAAATACATCATTTCACAAGCAAGGGGTTGTCTTGCTCCCACCAGAAAAGAGGAATGCACACAGAGTGTCATTTAAGGACTTCTGCGCTGGTTTTCAAGAACATCACACACACAGAGCTACAGGATTCTTCAACTCTTGCTCAAACATTTTATTATAGATCTGTTCGGGCTCCTTCTGGCAATCCTGTGTGTTGGTAGGTCACTGTCCAGTTTTAACACTCAAATAATAAAGGGCAAACATTTGAAGTGACTGCTAAGCTGATACCAAGATGCAACATGGTGCCAAATGCTGCTTATTTGTGCACCAGCAGCAGATAAACGTAATGCAGAAGACATACAAATGTGACAATGTTTGGGAGGTGTTCTTTCAAATCCCTAGAAGAGGCTCTTTGTTATATATCCACTATTATTTTATGCCTTCAGCCCGCGTTTCCAAATTTCAGTCTGCTGACATTAATTTCATTTCGCTAATCCTACACACATTTCAGAGTGAAGGGATTTCAGCGACCACACTCAGTGAGCTTTCAAGGTATGCCAGCTCCCTTAGACAGCTGACGAGCTTCTGCAGGCATGCTCCTTCCTACCAGACAGCCCTGCTCCCATGCCAGCCAGGAGAAGTAAATCGTGTCTGTGGGCTTTTGTTTTGCTAATCAGATGGAAATCACGCTCAGAAAATTAGAGGCAATAGAGAATGCGGACTCAACTGTCTATGATAAACAGGAACACACATTAACACAGATCATATGCTTTGAACCATGTAGAAATATCTGACATGTGAACCCCTTGAGACCAACACTAAAAAAAGATCTTTAATTATTCCTAAGCAAGCATTTCGCTTGTGCAAAAATTCTGCACAGCGAGTGTTTAAGCTTCGCAATCTAGTAGACGCATGTATGAGCGTGTGCCTGCACGGCAAACCACCAAGCCATTGTCTCGACCTAAATAAACACCACAGATTGCTCAAAACCAACCAGCCAAGGTTCAATACAAAAAGAAACCATTCCTTGGCAATCTGGCCAATACAAAGTACTTACCTGGATATTTTGAATAGTTCAAGAAATCCAAAAAAGAATCACAAAATCTCTAGGTTGGAAGAGACCTCAAGATCGCCGAGTCCAACCTCTGACCTAACACTAACAGTCCCCACTAAACCATATCCCTAAGCTCTACATCTAAACATCTTTTGAAGACCTCCAGGGATGGAGACTCCACCACTTCCCTGGGCAGCCCGTTCCAATGCCTAACAAAAGAAGACAATAAAACCAAAAATACACGGCTACTTAACATTCCCCTATTATCCAGACATCAAGGCAATTGAACAGCGTAACAGTTAAAGGACTGAAATAACACAGAGACTAGATGCACTCTGTGACAAGCTGTCTATATAGTGCAGAGAATAATGTCTCATAATGATATCACACTCCAGAATTTGCAGCACCCATCATGTAAGAAATACTATCAGTTGCTTGCTACATAAAGCAGAAACGTCCTCTTCAAATTCCATTCAGATATCCTCAATTCTAAAACACAAGATTCAAGAAACACTTAGAGCCACAGGGTCAGAAATATTTGCTACCAAAGGCATATTTAGTTACTGAATTTGCTCCAGAAATGCATCTTAGAACCCCTTTGATTGCTCCCGCTCATAGCAATATGGAAAAATAATCAGATTTCTAAAAATGTTTAGCTCTCAGAGTAAAGGTTGCTAAACTCATTTTAATAATGTAACCTGACTGATGAGAAAAAAAAAATAAAAGGTTCTCCAGTAAATCCTCTCTCCCTCAGCCCACTGTATCATCACTTAGATAAATTAAGTCAGCAATCTGTACTAAATTCAGTGGGCTTTTTGCTCTTTACACAGCATCTGGTGAATTCCCAAAATAGTAAAGAACACAGTAACTCTAATGTAAGAGAATCCTGTTTGCCTATATTTTACTGTTCCCAGTTGGAGAACAGTTATATAAAAAACCATTCACAGGACCAGACGATCGGGTGTTATCATTCCATACTACAGAAATGTGAATCCTTTTCCGACTCTTCTGCACTTTAAAGCATTAAAGTTTTACAAGAGCAGCAGATTCATTAGGACTAAAATTTGTAGCTTCACAAAGCACACGACTGCAAATCACATACGCTTCTACTGGGAACTTGCATAAACCTTCTAGGCACTCCTGATTGGCAAAGCAAAGACAAAGCTGATACAGGATCAGGAGATAAGATGACCAGAAGGCCAAGTTCATCAAAAAAAGACTGACATCCTCAGGTTGAAGACTCCAAAGAAATGCTACATTTTCTTTAAAATAATTTAAGCACTTAACATCAGATAGTTTAGGACAGTCAGTCAAAATTGTACAATTTAAGTCAGGTAATAACTAAAGCAGCTTTTCCTATCTGCTCCCTTTTCTCCTGCTCTCACAATCTCCAGCACTGTAGCAAGGGAGCAGCTGCACCCAAGATGGGCTCTCATTCTCACTCCCCCAGCTGACTGCTCTTTTTTTCCAAGTCTGCTCTGACACTACGAGCAACTGCAATGCAAGGTGGTTGGGGAAGGAATTATTTTTAGCTGTGTCAAATAAGACTAACCATCAGACCGATCGCTTACACTCTGGTTAAAACATATGGTGATCTTCACAGTGAAATCTGAAAAAAGTGTATGTTGAACTGAAAATAGTCACAAAACGCATGCAAGTCCCTTTTTAAAAGCTTTCACATTCCATAATTTCTATAATTAAAGTGATGCCTTTAAATATTGGCGAACCAAAGGGAATGAAATCCAACCTTTGATCCGTACAGATACTGGGGCTGTGCGTTGGGCTGCTTATCCCTCTGAAACTCCTGGGAGAACGGCAGCACAGTCCGAACAAATCTATGAAAACAAAAGAAAGAAAGAATTATTCACACTTGGGTTATTAAGCATGTGCCTAACGTACCTTATTAGCCTGTATATTGCTGTTTCTGTCTACAGACAAAATGAAAGCCAGAGACCAGTTGCCTTTCAGACCAACCTTGGGAACAGGGAAGTGCACAGCCTGTGTTGCCCAAACGCCTGGGCACAACTCAGCATGTGATTCTCCATCACTTAGTGGGACCCCCTTCTTCCCAGTGCTGCACAGGGTCCATTTCCCAACAGTGCTCTAACCCAGCAAAAAGAGAAGCAACCAACAAAGCACCAACAGCCTCTCAGAGAGTAAGCGAGTTCCTCGTGCTTCTGAAATGAAGCACTTAGGAATAACGACAGCTTCAGATAGCATTCCTACTAAATGGCTGGTTTGTGCTCGTCTCCTCCTCCCCTAGAAACTCACAAGAGGAGAAATACTTCAGGTTCATACCTTAAAAAAAAAAAAAAAAAAGGCACGAAGGGCACAATCCTTGTAGCAAAACAAGCGTTTCAAACTTTTCATCCTACTTTGCTGATGTTCTAATCCGTGTGTAGCAATACACAGCACCTTTAATGAAGAGCATTACCTCTGTATATCATAAGGGGAAGAGAACTACAAAGAGGTGGAGTTCTGCAAAAGACATGATCAAACTGTCCCCTTATATCTGAGAAGCTGCATATCTGGGTCCTCTCCTGAACAACTGAGCTCTGACAGGGCCAGAGAACCACGCGATTCACATTTTACAACAGTACAGTTTTGGTGGAGGAAGAAGTTAATCAACTTCTACAATTCTCATTCTGCTTTCACTTTGCTCAACCAAGCAAAATAACTGTGTGTGTGGGGAGAGGTGCCTGTGGGTGGCTTATTTATTTTTTCTTTTTTTAAACCTGGCAAAAAGGATCGCTTGGTAAATGTTGCAAAGCTGCAGAGGCACAAGAAAGTGGGAAAACAGTCATTTAAGAACTGTACGCCAAATATTTGTATCAGGTCAAG